AAAAGACTTGTTTTAACGTTACCGGTTAACAAGTGGCCCACAGATTGACAGTACCATACACCTCTCTCTAATGTGAAAATAGAAAAATGATTTTACAATATGCTGTTCTTCTAAAACATGTTTTTAAACCTTTTAATGTATTTTCGTATAGCAAAAACATTCCGATTCCTACCAATGTAATTTTTGACTCTACTAAATATAAAACTTCAACTTTCGTTTCTTTAGACGAGTCAGCAAACAAAAGACCTTTGATATCAATTGTAACATCATCTCCCTGTTCTTCCTTCATTTCACCGTCTTCTTCATCACTGCTATTCTCATCAACTTCACCTTCCTCCGTTTCTCGGTGCCCTCGTACTCTTTTCAGTGGTTTTGTCATTTCAAGAATCATCTGCAGTTTGATACACAAAACGAACGTTTCCCCATTTGCAAGAAGTCTTGTTCAAAAATCACTTCAATCAAGAAACTTAATACATAATGTTAACGTAAAGTCAAAGCCTAAGCGTCAAATTCAAAATGACTTTTCACAAATTTCAATTCTCCTGTTACGTCCTATAGCAAAATAAAATATGAGTTACAACAAAAAACAAAACACAACAAACAAAAGGGGATCAAAAACCTAAAAAACCATAAATCTGTCAGAAACTTTACAATTTAAGTTTGAGAAATTGCAAAAATACCTTTCCAACCGTGAACTGTTCGTTCCATATAACATTGCAACTTTGGTCGTCTATCATATCAACAGCAGTCGGAGAAAATTCAGCAAACATCCTGCAAAAAGTAATATACGTTCAATAATTCTGAAAAAAATTTTGTAAACTGCAAAAGCATCAAACATGGTTCAATTTAGAAATTAAAACACATGCAAAAAAATCTTTCACCTCCCTAAACGCCATCCTCTCTTCCTTCATAACTAAACTACAATTAGCTATTTTTGTAACTTTCAGCAGGAAAAGTCACTCATGAAAAAATTGAATAGTTATGAAAGTCATAAAAAAGGGGGCAAGAAACCATAATTTCTTCACACCCCTCAGCAAACAGTTAGGACCCTTCCTGAAAGGAACTGATACAGCAGAAAATAAACCTACAAACAAAGCTAGTTTAAAAAATGCATTAAGTTACTAGAAATGAAAATCTTAACAATGAAAGAAAATGCCCTAACAGATTTGAAAATTTCTTCATTTCCGAAGTACTAGGTAAAGTCAAATAAATGATAAGCCAACCATTTACATACTTATGTATCTGGAATGGGGTAAGACCAGCAACACCATGAACCAGAACTGAGTGAAAACGAATGTCCGGATCATATGGATCAATCCCCATAGATTTGTATAAATCGAACAATTCATCGCCGGTGATCTAAAAATAATATAGCTTTCAAACATGACAATTATTCTGCACTTTTTCAGGTGTGACTAGCTGACAGTTACTGCAACCCAAAGGTGCAAAAGAAATAATTAATGCAACAATACACTTAATACACATTTCGCCTGCAATGACGATGAATAAAAATGCGTACGTATAAATTTCCTTATATATATA